CGGCAACTGGAGGCCGGGTCCCTTCCCCCCCACTCACTCCAGGGCCAGCAACGGGATGCAGAGGCCTCCGGCCGCCGCCGCCGTTCCCCCACCCCCTCCCACCCTCACCCACTATTGTTTACCTTACCACCATCCAGCCTATGTTCGGCAACTGGAGGCCGGGTCCCTTCCCCCCCACTCACTCCAGGGCCAGCAACGGGATGCAGAGGCCTCCGGCCGCCGCCGCCGTTCCCCCACCCCCTCCCACCCTCACCCACTATTGTTTACCTTACCACCATCCAGCCTATGTGTTCGTTACAGACCACATATTTCTAGATCTCGTTGTATCGGTTTCACAACGGGCTTTTCTGCTAGTAAAGAATAAAGAACATCAGCAATCTGCCAAACCACCACCACCAAAAATCAAGTTTCAAGAGACCAGTCACAGGATTTGGGGACTTAAAATCACCTTCAACCTGGCAGTGTACTGTAGAACAGTACAAAGGGCACCCTATAGATCACCTCTGGAAGTCTGTTCTGTACTGTATACAAGCTGCAGAAGAGTATGTGGAAAGAAATGAGAGCACCACAAGTCCCAGTTGTTGGGTGTTCGTAAACTTGTAGGATGACCCTGGGCTAGTCACGTTAATCTCACAGGGTGAGAATTGTGGGGATAAAATGGGAAAGGGGAGAATGAGGGGGTCCCATTTGAGGAGATAGAAATGCTTGGCTTTGAGGGCTCATTACATTTCCTCTACTCTCAGGTTCTTCCCTGGATGCCCTTTGTAACTCTTTTCTAGATCAGTTCCACAATTCAGAAAGCTATTATTTGTCTAGACTGTCCTGAAGCTCTTTGAAGACCTTCAGAATGTACTTATGGTAGGGGTGGATCAGGATTGGACCAGCCATGTTTTTTGTGGCGTGCCTTTCTAGCCTTCTGTTACACAAACATTAGGTCATACACATTCAGAGCCTACCTTGCAATCTGTACACTTCAGTCTCATAGTGAACCAGATAGAGCTGTCTGTACACCTGAAAGCTGAAGGTGTGCAGATCATATGGGTTGGGCCGAAGTGCATCAGACTTCATGTGTGTAGGCACCCGTGTAAACGTTGTATGTGAACATGCCAGGGGGATGCAGTCAGTTGGCATGATCTCTCTCCTTCCCCAGTCATCTAGGGCATGCATATTCTGAACGTCTGCACTGGGCTTCAATTGCCTGATGTGTTCTGGGTCATGCTGTCTAGAATGAAATCTTCAGGTCCTCTGACATTAGCTCTAAAGCCTGGGGCTGCTAACATGCGCCCTCCTTTGGTTGTGGCCAGGTCTGGCATAAGAAGCTGCTGCTCTTGCTGTTGGCAGGTCTCTGCTCTGAACATCTTGCTTGCTTCTCCATAGTTCTTGCCACACACAGAGGATCGGATACTCATTACCGGAGCTGCTGATTCCAAGGTGCATGTCCATGACTTGACTGTTAAAGAGACCATCCATACGTTTGGGGATCACAAAAACAGAGTCAAGCGTATTGCCACAGCTCCCATGTGGCCCAACACCTTCTGGAGTGCAGCAGAGGATGGACTCATCCGGTAAGAGTGCTTTGCTCTTCCATTATGAGGAGCCATAGTTACCATAGTTTTCCTCCCTTTCTCATCCGGACTCCCACCAAAAATTACGAGCAGTAGATCTCTGAGGATTAGACATGATATGTCCTAAGCTTTGGGTGTAGTTGAGTAGAGAGCTTGACTATTTCAATTTTTGTACAAGTCTCTTTTAAAACAACCCCCTGTGAAGCTTCCTTATGCAGCCACAGAATCATCAGACCTGGCTTGGGCAGAGAAGGGTCTTCTTGCAATCTGCTATCTTATCCTTTGACTAGACATTATCAGTGATTGAATCTGGGATGTGCACTACCGCTGAGCCTACATCATTCCTCAGTCTTCTCATAAAAAAATTGTAGTTCAGCCCTTCTAAGAAAGTTGCTCAAAATATGGATCTCACTTTCCACAGTGGGCCAGCGATCAGCTCCTACCACTGGCATTTCTGATCCTGTGGATATCTAAGTGTTTTGTTCCTGTCCCTTTCAGACAGTATGACCTGCGAGAGAACAGCAAACACTCGGAAATCCTGATAGACCTGACGGAATACTGTGGACAGCTTGTGGAGGCCAAATGCCTAACTATCAACCCCCAGGACAACAATTACCTAGCGGTGGGAGCCAGTGGGCCCTTTGTACGGATCTATGACATACGCATGATCCACAACCACAGGTAACTGTGTTTATCGTGGGTAATGCAAGAGCCCACTTGTGATGAGGTCAGGTCCCTAAGTGAAAGCGCTGATAGGATTAGAATTTTTTTAAAAAGGATGAAGGGCTAATTGAAGTAGTCTCTAGAGTGGACAGCAAGTTAAATACAAACAAACAAACAAATACCTTTTATTGGCATAAAATATTAGACAGTTGCCATTAGGGTAAAACAATCCTATAAAATTTGTGAAAAATAAACAACTTCTAAAAGCATTACAAAGGTATGTCTATTTATATGAGCTTAAATTATAGCAAGATAAAATTTTGCCCAACCACAAAACCTTAAATTAAATTATACAAACTCATTGAACTCAATTAGAATGATCAGGGGCATTTTTCTGTTTTATAAGACCATAAAAGAACTTGGCAGTCAATTCAATAATCTCTGAATCTCGAGAAGTAAGGAGGTAGTGTAGCTTGCTTCCGTCCGGTTGGCATGCTACCTTGCTAAGGGGGACTTCCAGAAATTTCGCTCGAATGTCGTTTAGCAAATTACAACGTAAAAGTACATGCTCAACTGTTTCTATTTCTCTCTTATTGCTTCCGCAATATCTAATTGCATAAGGGATTTTCTTATATCTCCCCTCAAGAATAGCAGAGGGGAGAACATTGAACCGTGCTAGCATGTAAGCTCTGCACAATTGCGGTGATATCAGGGAGAAAAAAATATTGTGGTGGTGCACCAGAGAGTGGATAGGCCCATCTAACTGAAGAGCACCTACCGGAAGCAAGAGCTCTGAGCTCTTGCAGTTCTATATCAATAAGTCTCTGCTTAAGCAGAATAAAAACTTCCGGCTCTGTTAAAGTGGCAAAATCGTTCAGATTAAAACCAGTAGAATTAATTTTAGCAAGTCAAATACCTTATAACTTTAAGAGGGGTCACTATTCTAGTCTGCTGCAATAGGAACGGGAACGGAATCTTGTGGCAGCCTATAAAAAGGTCACCCCGAGAGCTTTGATGGCAGAGTGGGGATTCCAATCTAGTTCTCCCAGATCCTAGTCTGACACTGTTAATTGCTACACCATTGCTGTTACCCACCTCGACTCCTGAGTTGGTGAGAAGAAGGGCAGAATTAAATATATGAAATAAAGAAATGCTATTTGAGGATTCTTTACTTGTATTCCAAGGTTGTACAAGTCAAGCTCAGATGGTCCAACTGGAGAAAGTCACTGTAAGAAATTTTACTGTGGTTCTTGTCAACCAGCTGGTATTCTAAACCACATTTTAATATCCACTTAGAAGCCTTGTTGGTAGTCAAGAGACAAGCCACAGTTGGTCAAAGCATCCAATTTGAACGTTGCTCCATTCACATGGGGAAGGGGAAGGGAACATGCCAACTCAAGACATTTCCTAGGGGTTTGGCATATTTCCCCGGTGGTTTCTGTATGTTTTCCCTCCTGGCGTACTTACATTGGCTGTCTCGGTTTCTTAATAAATTGCAAGAAGTAGACACTTTGAAAACCAGCAGTCTAATATTGTCTTTTCCTTTCCTTTCCTGATAGAAAAAGCATGAAACAGAATTCCACCGCCGGGGTCCATACGTTTTGTGATCGGCAGAAACCCCTCCCAGATGGTGCCGCACAGTACTACGTAGCAGGTATGACTTCTGTAGCTGATGCCCCAGTCCTATGGCCACTTGTTTAATGTACTCTCAAAAGCACCAGTACATTCAGGTGATGTGCAGGGCAGCATAAAGCTATGTTCTCTCAGGAATTAGTCCCACTGAATTCTGTGGTACTTGCTCCCTAGTAAGTGTGTAGCCTAGGACCGCAATTGTAAGACTGCAAAAGGATATCCTCCCCCCCCCCACCTGCAGATTGTATTTTTTGTAGTTGTGTCCACTATGTGAGCGGAGAATGCCTTCTGATCACTGCTGCCCAGCTGCTCTTTGCCTTGTAGGGCATTGGTCAATGTTCCCGCTAAGCTGTGGGGTCTTGTGAGCAAAAATTCTACTTTGTGAGCTACTGGCATTAAAGTTGTGAGCAAGCAATATGGCTAGTGCATAAATTAGCTTGCTCTGGAGCCATCCTTCCTGAGCTAAGACAAAAAATGTGTGAGCCGGAGGCTGAAAAACTGTGAGCTAGCTTAGAGGGAACACTGGCATTGGTAAAGGGAGGCTGAAATAGCCTTTTTTTTTTAATTCCACCAACGTGTATTGGTGAACTCTGCTTGGGTTTCTTCCCTCTTCTGCAGGACATCTTCCAGTGAAACTACCAGACTACAATAACCGGCTGAGGGTACTGGTAGCGACATATGTCACCTTCAGTCCCGATGGTACAGAGCTGTTGGTGAACATGGGAGGGGAGCAGGTAGGATTGATGTCGGATGAGCTGTCAACTTTTAAAAGAGGTGGTTGATGGGCTGTATTCCTTGCATGTTGCTGAGAATGCCCTGTAAAATTTTTTTTTTTAAAACCCATTTCTTTAATGGGTGCAGTGAATTGTATCTTTGCAGAATTCTGCAAGAGAGTGATTGTTCTAAGTTCAGCTGGAAAGTTACTTAAAAATAAAATGTGTAGTGCTTGAGGCCTGCATTGCACCATTGCCTCCCAACCCCTCTGCATTGCAGGAAATGCTGCAAAGTTTGAGGAACCCTAGAATGACATGAAATCCTCTCCTGTGACTGAACCTTGTTGTTTAAAAATGTTGTGGACCGAGTGGTGCCGTAGCATGCCAGGAGCTGCATATGACATGACAGTGATGTGGTCCCCTTCCTGTAGTGTTTATATTGTATATTGTATATATTGTATATTGGTGGCACTTCCTTTGTCTGGCAAATAAACAGACAGTGTTGCTGAAGGCCTTAGATGTAATGCAGTATTTTCAGTCTGGCCCTCGATCCTGAACAAATCGTGGAGAACCGTGGCCATCTTCCTCTTATTTGTGGTTTCAATGAGCTTTAAAATCAGGAATTATATTGGTGCGGAGGGTTCAGTATGCTTATCTGTAGTGCCGCCTTCCTTTTATAGATGGAGCGCTGCACTTACATTACTTTAATCTGGACCCCTGTCCTTTAGGGATTTGGGGGGGGGGGGCATTTTCCTAAATGAAAGCTAGTCTATCTGCCACTTACCCTAAAGTGGCAAACTTGCTTCCTTTCCCAAACTGATGACTCTGTTTTAGATTTCCCAGAACTGCAAGACCACTCAATGTAGATGGCTGATGGAAGGTGCTGTTTCTCCCTTCCAGCACAGCTCATTTCTTTGGGGGGGTGGAGATTCCTTAGGTGTATTCAGTTCTCAGTTGATAACCACCTGGTCAGGGTAGCCTTTGATTTAATACCTTTTCCTAAACCGCTGTTCACAGGTTACAGTGAATGCACATACAATCCATGGGCAGGATACACTTGATTTTTTTCTTTATACATGTGTTAGGTAATTCTCATGTTACAGTCAGTGCAGGTACAACTGAACTTGTGATTTAAACCCCATGTGTTCACTGTAACTTGTGAACTTGTGAACGGGGCTGCTTTGTCCTGCAGAGGGCAGCACTGACACCTATACTGGCTGCTGTGTCATTTTGAGTGACTTCGCACAACCTTTTTACGTGGGTGCTTCTTTCCTTGCTCATCCCATACTTCTCTGTAGATAGTCTGCATGCTCACTGCCTGTTTGATTTTTCTAGGTTTACTTGTTTGACCTGACTTACAAGCAGCGGCCATACACTTTTCTCCTGCCAAAGAAATGCCACTCTTCAGGAGGTAAGTATAATGTGATGCTCTTGGAATGGGGAGAGGGTTTCCAGCATGGTGGCACGTTGCACATAACTCCTGAGTCATTTCTATGTACTTAACTCCTCTCAAAGCTCTTTTTAGCATAGTTGGCTATAATTTTTAAAGCTAAGTGTGAAGTCTTCTGGCTGGCTGGTACAAATTGGGAAAGAAGTGTGGCTACCTCACTAGCTGTTTTTATCAACTGGGATGTGTCCAGGAAGCACAAGGTATCCAGTTCTAGCATGTTTGCACCCTTCTATTGGCTAGAGCAGCAAATGATGGCATTGAGCCGTTAGTGAGTCTCTCTTTGCAGAGTTATCGGTGTCCAAAGCCTGTTTACACAGCAGTAAAACCAGGTGCCTGTAATGAATTGCTTGTGGCGTAAAGGAGGCCAAGAGAGTCATACAGAAGCACTGTGGCTTGGAATGATTGATTGTGATAAATAAAACAGTGCTGTGAGCAGATGGTTCTTTCCGAGTACTGCTTCAGTTTGTAGGGAACGTCGCTAGCTCCGTGTTGCTTTCAACTCATGAGGCAGTTCTCAGGAGGGGGCAAGGGGTAATTTCATTCTGGTTTCTTAATCCTTGTTTGGATTAGTGGGGAACAGGGGCTCGAGATGTGCAGTATATCTACCCTGGACTTAAACCAGATTAGTAGTTCTTTCCTCTCCTTAAACCATCCCAGGAAATGTAGTGTATGTGGAGGGGATAGTTACACATCTGAGTAAATTTGTGGCAGTCTTAAGGTAAAGGTAAAGGTTCCCTTGCTCGAAAGCCAGTCGAGTCTGACTCTAGGGTTGCGGTGCTCATCTCCGTTTCAAAGCTGTCAGATGTTTCCGTGGTCATGTGGCCGGCATGACTAAACACCAAGGCGCACGGAACGCTGTTACCTTCCCACCAAAGTGGTACCTATTTATCTACTTGCAATTTCTTGCTTTCGAACTGCTAGGTTGGCAGGAGCTGGAACTAGAGACGGGAGCTCACTCCGTCAAAGTGTAATTCTCAGGATTCCTTGGTGGAAGCCATGAGCTTAAATTGACACAAAACTGATACAAAAACATGGTAGGTTTGCCCCTGAGCTCTTCAAGCATTTTAGGAGCAAGTATGGCAGGAATGTGCCAGTTGAACTTTTTCCTGTGCCTGCATCCTATATTGATGTTTGGTGGGGTGGGGTGCTATGGTGCTGGGATCATGGCATCCAGGAGCCTTTCCATTCTCAAGGACAGATGTCAAGAAAAGCAAATAAATGCAGCTAAGCCTTGTGTCCTGCCATTTCATGCTGGGTTGGATCCAATGGCACATGTCCTTGGGGTCAAACCTGCTGACTTCTCTTACAGGACTCCTGCAAGCATTACAGAGATTATAACCATGGTGCTTTCAGTGGTTCTAATGTGCTATTATATGGGATTAAGAGCATGGAGCTGGGTGGGGTGTTGTGAGCACTGCTGTCGGGCTTGTGCTTAGCTGCTTCAGAAAAGTCAAATGCTTGCATGTTGTCTGTGACTTATACTCATTTTTTTTTTCTGGACAATCCTCAGAGGTGCAGAATGGGAAAACATCAACCAATGGGGTGTCAAACGGCATCCATCTCCACAGCAACGGATTCAGGTTGGCTGAAGGCCGAGCACATGTCAGGTACAGCAGCACATTCCCCCCCCCCTGCATTGTTTAAGTCAAGTGGAGCCCATACTGTTAAAGGGAATTCACTAGCAGAGACTGAGCCACCTGGTTTAGGAATGTTGCTGGTTCTGGAAGCTTGGTCACAGATGAAACAGCTGTGTCCCCTTGTTGTCCTGTGGGGTGGAAGAGATGCATCTGTGTGCACTAGTCTCTTTTGAGGAGGCTGCCCTTGTCTGACATAGTTCTGGAGTTAACCTGGACTTCAGGCTCATTGGGGCATCTGAGGGGTTTAGTCACATATGGTGAGGAGAAATGAGTGCCCGTAAACACAATGGCAGAGTGTCTTTTCCTTGCAGCACTCTCACTGCAGCAGGTCCCTTCACATCAGGGGGAGGACTTCTGAGAGCAAGCATATTACTACCATGCAAGTTTGGGACACTGCTTTTAGTGGCTCAGTGGCTGTGTGTAATCTCTTGGAGCCAGCAGCGTCCTGGGCTGAGTTGAGGCAGTGGGGACTGGCTCTGCTCTTCCAGATTTTGGTTCATTCTAATTTTTAAAGCATGGGATTCTGTGCCCTCGTCCTCCCTGGCTGTTTCCCAGTGTTGCTCGTTTCTGTAGCCCACAGACCGAGCTTCCTCCTTACCTGGAGAAAATTAAGTTACAAGCCAACGAGGCTTTTGCTTGCCAGCAGTGGACTCAAGCCATCCAGCTCTACAGCAGAGCGGTCCAGAAGGCCCCCAACAATGCTATGCTGTACGGGAACAGAGCTGCTGCATACATGAAGCGCAAATGGTAAGTGAGCAAGGCCAGATTATGGCGGATTCTTGTGAAAGCCTCTTGTGCCACTGAGCGTAGTTCTGGGACAGATGGGGTTTTTGGTCTCTTTATTTATTTTTTGTATTTTTTAAATGTCCGGATCGCCCAATCCCTGAGTGCACAGGGCTCTGGGCGATTTACAACAGGTTAACATAAGAACATAAGAGATGCCAATGTTGGATCAGGCCAAAGGCCCATCCAGTCCAACACTCTGTTACACAGTGGCCAGAAATACCAGGTGCCATCAGGAGGTCCACCAGTGGGGCCAGGACATTAGAAGCTCTCCCACTGTTGACCCCCCCCCCCAAAGCACCAAAAAGACAGAGCATCACTTGCCCCAGAGCCCCTATCTATACCTTGTGGCTAATAGCCACAGATGGACCTCTGCTCCATATGCTTATCTAATTCCCTTTTGAAACATCATCATAACGTTATTAAAAAACAACATCATGACCTTCACGTTATCAGTCAGTCAATCTCAATTTAATAGTCTCCAGATGGTGTCTATAATTAATCTAAAACCCACTCTGGACCGTTCTTCCATCTTGCCAGGCGGGTTAAGGAGGAGGCCGAAGAGCATAAGATGGAAGAAAAGAGGAGGGTGCCAGTTATGGTGGAAAACTGTTGCTGTCCTCAGCCAAAAGCCTGGCAGAAAATCTCTGCCTTACAGGCCCTGTGGAATTGCATCAGATCCCGCAGGGCCCTGGTGGTAGCTGGCGGAGAGTTCCAGCAGGTTGGAGCCAGGGCTGAAAAGGCCCTGGCCCTGGTCAAGGACAGCTGGATATCTCCGGGGCCAGGGATCACCAGTAGATTGCTCCCTAGCCCTTTCTCAGGGTATACGTAACCTCGTTAGTTGGCTGTCCACTTGGCTCCAGGCATGTGGGCCCGCCTAAGACCACTCGAAGAATCCACTCATGGACTCATTATCTCTGGACGGGAGCCAGTTGAGCTTCCCATTTCTGGGCCAGCTTTGCTGTAACCCAGCATTCCTATGCCTTCCCAGCAGCCAGAGACTCAGCTTGCCTTTCACTGCCAGGAGAGATTCTCTGGACAGCACCATGAAGCTGAAGGGTCAGCCGTAACTTTAACATGAAAAGGGAGCAGAGATGCCTTGTTAGGTGGTATTCAAGAGCAAAGAGGGAATGTGAAGTGGTTGACTTCCCCTCATTGTCTAAAGGAGGGAGGCTGGGGGAGGTGTAGGTCCTGTTTCTGCTGCCAGGGTCTTGATGTCTCTGTCCCCCTTGCAGGGACGGGGATCATTACGATGCTTTGCGAGACTGCTTAAAGGCCATCTCCTTGAACCCATGTCACCTGAAGGCTCACTTCCGCCTGGCCCGCTGCCTCTTTGAGCTGAAGTATGTGGCAGAAGCGCTGGAGTGTCTGGATGACTTCAAGGGAAAGTTCCCCGAGCAAGCACATAGCAGCGCTTGCGATGCCCTAGACCGGGACATCAATGCAGCCCTCTTCTCGAAAAGTGATAATGGTGGGGACCGGCATGACTGTGCCTTTTCCTTCTGCTTTCGTGAAGGCCAAGCCCCCTTTGTGCTAAATGTACAAACCTCTTCCATGTGCCAGTTTTATCAGCGCCATTTGCCAGACCGTGAGAGGAGCTGTGTTGGATCAGACCATTGGGTCTGGCACCCTTGTTTCACAGTGGCCAAACAAGATGCCCCCAGAAGACAGGTCTCTTTCTGTTGTAAAGGTCTGATGTTTGCCTGACTTGAGGACCAAGGTAGTCTGGACCTTGAAGTCTTGGGTTCAGACTCCAGCTTGATCTTAAATTCAGTAGAGATAGTGTGGAGTCTTGGGTGGTGGAGGCTGAGACAGTTGCTACTTCACCATCTTCAAAACGAAGGAGTTTTGTTGCCCCATTTTCACTTTTTCTGCGAGTAATTTTGGTATTTTGTGGGTTTTTCTAGCGGAAGACAAGAAAGGGGGCGGTCCCATTTGGCTGCGAGCAACGGGGCGCAAGGATTCCATCTCGGAGGACGAGGTGGTGCTGAGGGAGCGCAGCTACGACTACAAATTCCGGTACTGTGGCCACTGCAACACCACCACGGACATCAAAGAGGCTAACTTCTTTGGCAGGTACGTGGAGCTTCTCTTGAAGTCTGGCACCGGCTTCTGTGAGCACACTGGATAAGCCGCTCTGGGAGGGGCAGCCCTCAGGTTCCCTCGTCCTGTTTTCAGCTAGCTGATGTGGCAGCTGAATGAACCTACACAGAATTGGCATTGGGGATTTCACATGGGGACAGATTTCTTTTTTTGGCAGTCTCTATGACGTAGGCAGAAGGGAATGCTGGGTGCATTCTCTGTCGTCGCAAGCTCAACTTTAGTGTTAATTGATCAGTGTGCTGCCAAGCCAGTGATAACCCTTCTCTGGCTAAAGAGAGCCAGTTTGGTGCAGTGGTTAAGTGTGCAGACTCTAATCTGGGAGAACCGGGTTTGATTCCCCACTCCTCCACTTGCACCTGCTGATGTGACCTTGGGTCAGTCACAAGCTCTGGCACAGCTGTCCTTGAAAAAGAGCAGTTTGTGTCAGAGCTCTCTCAGCCCCACCCACCTCACAGGGGGTCTGTTGTGGGGAGGGGGAAGGGAAAGGAGTCTGCAAGCCGCTCTGAGACTCCCTTGGGTAGTGAAGGGCGGGGTATAAATCCAATCTCTTCTTCTTCTCTTCTTCTTCCTGTGAGATCCAAAGCTTAATGCCAGTACTGTCTTTCTCACCCAGCTTTAAGGATGCACCAATGGGATCTGAACTTCATGGGAGTGAGAGAGAGAGAAAGATACATTGAGGTTGTAGTTGATTGCTCAATAAAAATGTCAACCTAGTGTGTCAACAGTGGTAAACTCCATGCTGGCAATTATTAGGGAAGGGAATTGAGAATAAATCAGTAGTATCATCCCCCTGTATACCTCTGTGGTGCAGCCTGATTTGGAATACTGTGTGCAGTTTTGGTCACCATATCTCCGAAAGGACTCTGCGGAGAGGTAAAAAGTACAGAAGAGGGGCAGTCCAGGGACTAGAGCAGCTTTCCTGTGGTGAAAGGCTGAAGAGTCTGGGACTTTTCAGTTTAGAAAAAAGATGACTGACGAGAGATGTGATAAAAGCTTATAAAGTTACACATAGGGGTAGAAAGAATAGACAAATAAGTTTTTCTCCCTCTCCCAAAATGCTAGAACTCAGGGGCACTCAGTGGAGTTGATGAGCTGTGGATTTAGGACAGGCAAAAAGGAAATACTACTTTACGAAACAAGTGATTTAAAATGTGGAATTCACTGCCAGAGGTGGTAGTGATGGCCACAAGCATAGACAGCTTTAAAAGGGGGTTTAGATAGATTTATGGAAGACAGGCCCATCTGTGGCTACTAGCCATGATGACTAAAGGGAACCTCCATATTCAGAGGCCGTAAATCTCTGAATATGAGTGCCAGAAAATGACAACAGGGCAAAACCTCAGTTTTTATGCCCTGTTCTTGGTCCTCCAGGGCAGCTGAATGGTCGCTGTGTGAGACAGGATGCTGGACTAAATAGACCACTGGTTTGATCCAGCAGGGCTCTTCTTACATTCTTCCTCTTCTAGTGAGCAGGCTGGCGCTATAGAAATAACAAGTAGCCCCTACATTCAAACTTCTTCTGTGCATGCACACATGCATTCTAATTTTTTAACCTGCTTTGTTGCATCGTGCAGCATTACCATGTGCCTTGGAACATAAAACTTGGGATGCTTGGGCCTGTTCACACACCTGCCAGCAACCCTTTCGATTCAGTTTTTTTATTGCTCATACTACAGTTCTTAGGAAGCATTTTGAGGGATTAAAACCTTGTATCAAAAAGCATTTCACTTGTTCCAGTAAAACAGAACCTGTAGTAGGAGGCTTTTGGGTGCAGGGGTGGGGTTTGTCCGGGCTGCGTTGTAGAATAATACCTAGGAGGTCCCATCGTTCAGTGATCCCCTTGCTTTGCCTGCAGGAGGTCCCCAGGCTCCATCCCTGGCTTCGTCAGTTGGAAGGATCTCTAGGTAGCAGGGCCAGGGAAAACCTGGAACCCTGGAGGGCCACAGCCCATTCGAGAACATGTTCAGTGGCATGTACTCCTTTGGAGCTGCCTTGTAGGGAAGTTGCCAAAAGGAGCTGACCGCTACTACGTTTGTCATTTAAAGAATAAGGCAATGCCTTGCTTTTCCGATCAGTGGTTTATTTTCTCAACTTAACAGTTTCTGTAATTTGAACACAGTCTTGTTGCTCTTTCTGACCATTTCATTTGTACCCATTGATCTCGCCCACAATCCCCCTGCTTTTGCCTCCTCCAGCAATGCACAGTACATAGTCAGTGGCTCTGACGATGGCTCCTTCTTCATCTGGGAGAAAGAAACGACCAACCTTGTGCGGGTTCTGCAGGGGGATGAGTCGATTGTCAACTGTCTCCAGCCTCATCCCAGTTACTGCTTCCTGGCCACCAGTGGCATTGACCCTGTTGTACGGCTGTGGAATCCCAGGCCAGAGGTAAGAGTGGCAGCTGGTGTCCGGATGGGACTCTTTATTTAAAATATTTATGCCCTGCTTTTTCCCGTAATGGGGGAAGAGTGGTTTACAGCGTGATTCTCCCCTCTTCCCTTTTTCTCTTCACAACAACACCCCTGTGAGGTAGGTTAGGCTGCAAGCAGGTGACTGGCCCAAGGTTACCTTTGTTTTGTCTTCACAACAAGCCTGTGAGGTAGGTTATGCTGAAAGAGTGACTGGCCCAGGGTCACCCAGTGTGCTTCCATGGCTGAGTGGAGAATTTGTCTCAGGTCTCTCAGATCTCTGGTGTGACATTGTAACCGCTACACCGCACTGGCTTTCTGTGGGTAAGAGTTGGCTGCTCTCTGTGCAAGAGAATGATAACCTTATTCTCAGGGCCTTGCAGCTTCGTCTGTTCTGTGCTGCAGAGCTTGAGCCTTTTGTTCGCAGTGTTCTTGTGGCAGGGCTAAGAGGTTCCTGTTAAACGGGAATGGTCCCGTTGCTCTCCAAATGAGATCTGTTATTTTGTTCAGGGTATTGGCTCTTTTGTGTACTCTCTCCATCTCAGCCTAGAGTTAGGGTAAAACAGGGAAGTACACAAGTCACCCTGTGCTCCTTGGCGGGTCTCTGGACACTGTTTTGAGGCAGAACAGCCTCACCTATCTTGCAGGGTTGTTGTGAAGGGTAAAGTGGAGGAAAGAATGACATAACCCACTCTGGTCCCCCACTGGGGAGAAACATGGGGTTAAAGTCTGGGGATAGCAAAAGCTGCCCCCCCCACTCTGATTTAGTAAGAACAGTTCTAACACTCCCTCGCATCTCCTTCCTTCCCTCCCTTCCTCCCTCCCTTCCGCAGAGTGAAGCACTGAATGGGCGAGTGGTGGAAGACATGGAAGGCGCTTCCCAGGCTAACCAGAGGCGGATGAATGCAGACCCATTGGAGGTGATGCTGTTGAACATGGGCTACCGGATCACAGGACTGACCAGCGGTGGGGCTGGAGGCTCAGACGATGAAGACAGCTCAGAGGGGCAAGTCCACTGCCGGACCAGCTAAAGCTGAATTGCCTCTCTCCTTCCCATGATTTTGTTTTGTTTGAAGGGAAATCCAGTTTGCTCCATTTGGACTCTTGACGAACGACTGCACTGTTTCACGCTATGCACAGAGTAGGATCTGCCAGCAGGAGCCAAAGTGGCTTCGTTTAAGCTGCTGCCGCCCTTTCCTTCCCCCTTTGTGCCCCCTCCCCCCCGTTCCACTCTTAAGCAGCACGGGGGGGCGCAGCCCATTGGACCTTTGCTTCTAGCAGAATCTAGTCTGTGCAGGGATTTCTTTTTCTTTTTCTTTTTTTGCGTTGTAAAACTGGCAACCATCCTCCTCTTCTGGTGCTGCTGCACGGCCCGGGAGATGGGGTGTGGCAGTGCGCGTTGCCTATACGGATGCATTTGCAGAGAGGATGTTTAAAAACTCAATAAAATGTCAACCTAGGGCAGGGATTATGGAATGACATTAATGCCGCGGTCTCTCCAAAGCTTGGCTTGCTTGCCCTGCTGTCGCTGATTGGCCCCTTTGGCTTCCTTGGTGCCTCTTCTGGCTCACCCAACCAGCCAGCTAGAGTTCACTCGGCCTTTGCATCTCACACACAGTTATAACAGGGCGACCAGGCAAAAAATGGGCATGCTAGCTGATGCAAGGTCCCAGCCATGTACATGGTCCCAGCCAGTGGGCAGAGATGCTAACTTCCTAGCTCTGGTATCCAAAACTCTGTCTTCTGTGTGCAGAGAAATGACTGTAACGGGGAGAAAACCCCCCCAGCACAGGGCCTCTGGTGACTTCTGTGACTAGAAGTAGTCAACTCCAGATTTTGCTGCTCTTCTGGAAATCCCTGCTGTTGTTGTTTTTTTCCCTTCACTGGAAAGATTTTATTTCCCATGGTCTGAATTGGGGCGTCTGGCTCACGTGCCTCATCATAGCTGGAGATCTGGGCAAGAAGTATCTCATCCATTTCAGCTGCCCAACATTTCTGACTGGCTGTGGGCGAGGGCGCTCCCCTCCTCAGGCACATTCAGATCCTGACACACCTCTGTCTGTGACACGCGTGGACACAGGGCTCGTGCTCGGGCTTGCCTCTCCCTCCCCCCTGGATTCCTGAACAACATGGAGTCTGCTCCCCCCCCAAAAAAAAAACACCCTTGGATTTCTAAACCAGAATAAACTGGTTTAGAATCCCTGTCTGCAGAGAGGAAGCCATTTGTGTGTGTTTCAGAGCTTTCCAAACCAGGTAGCTTTTCGTTGGCCTCCCTGTGTTGGGTGGGGAGAAGCAAAGAGGGGGGAATGCGCAAGTGCAGCTAGCAAGCTGGGTCTGTGCCCATCACACATAACGGGGGGTTGTCATGATGTCTGAATGTGGCCATTGTCCCTGGTGCAGTTACCTTCCTTTTCTTTTGCCTCGGGGGTTAGGAATTTCCTCGGGAGCCTTCTGTCCCTCTCCAGCTGTGGCTTTTTGGGGTAGATGAGGTGTGCAAAGCCTTTTCATTTAGCATAGGATTTTGGCTTCTGTCTTGTCCCCTCCAGTTGTTCTTGCTACATTCTAAACCATCAAGTGGATTCTGCACAGCAGACTCATTGTGGAGCATTGCCTAAAACCAAAGTTCTTGGGAACAATGCTAATGTTTGTTTGCTGTTTCGTTTCGTGGGCAGCATTGGCCCCTGGGTGGGGGTGGCAGCGGCAATGTCCGGCAGAAATGCTGCTTTAGAAAGGGGAAGCCTCTTGGCTTAGCATTTTTATCGGAGACCACCCGTCCCTTTCAGGAACCTTGTGCGTACAACGATTGCATGACACACAGCAGGGGCACCCATTGGTTCTTCGTTCCCCCATCCCCACAGGCTCTGCTCTCAGCATTTTCCAAGCTGCAATGGTGTCGTTGTGGGATTGTTCTAAACCACATCCTCGGTGTCTCAGCAGATAACTCCTGAGCGTTCCATTGGAAGCAAGCCAGGCTGCAGTATGGGATGGACAGAGAGACTCCAGTACAACAGGCTTCTCATTTCCCCTCTCCTGAAAGCGTCTTTGCTGTGGCCTTGTGCAGGGAGCAGTGGCAGCCAGAGGTTTCCCAAAAGCTGTGTTGCTGCTCCACTCGCTCTCCCACCTTTACCTCTGCCCAGGCCAAGGGTAAGCCATGCGTTCTTCAAGCAGGCAAGGATTGCATCACCCCCAAGAAATCTGGGCTGAAGCTATTTTGCAGGGAACAAGCCAAATTCTGTTTAGTGGTTGCCTGTTCAGTAAAGCCATATATCTCTGCCCAAACCTCACAGTCATTTTCAAAGGCTTGCATGTCCCCGTGTTTGGATATTCTCTCACTTTTGGGTTCAAGCATTCTGGATGCTTAAAATAGCATGAAACCCAGATGCATTTCCTGGGCTGTAACTAGCATATTGGAGAAGCCTCCAGGTTTTCTTATTCTCCCCCCCCCCCCAAAAAAAAACACCAACCAACACCCCCCCCCCAAAAAAAGCTCTGAAATACCTTGGTGTGTTGCTTTGGCTGGTCTTCAAGGTTTTACATGGCTTTTGTATTTGGCTTATGCTGTGGACCAAGGTGGATAGCTATTTTTTGTGTGTTGCGTGCACATTCTCATCCCAAGTCACTCTCCTGGTCATCTTTCAGTGTTGGGACTGGTGAATACCTGGGGTCTGAAGACCAAAGCAAAGTGGGAGGCATCTGTTTCCTAACTTCCCCATCACTTTGATTGGAGTAAAAAAAAAAACAAAGCTCTGTCTATCAACAGTGTGCTTCCTCCCACCCCAAAATGTTCTTTAAGTATGTGAAAAGGGCTTCCCCTGAACTTCAGAGGGATCCTTGCCCTGTGGATCAACCTCAGACCATAGGCGTAATCTTCGTGGGGGCGGCGGGGCTTCAGCCCCCGCCGAAATTTTCAGGAAAGTGCTCAGCCTCCCCCGGGAGCCACCCTTGCTCCTAGCACAGCAATGCCTCTGGCCCAGCCCCAGCCCCCCCCGGGAAATTGGAAAGTCTACACCCTTGCCTCAGACCCCGCCCCCCCGCCCCCCAAGCAGGTCTGCTCACTACAGTCTTTTGGCCACAGCCTCTCCCATCTCATCCCCTTGCAAATTAATGAGCAGGTGGGGGGAAAAATGCATAATGCAAAATATAATTTTAATCCCTTGCCAATCTGGACATGAAGCTACTTTTTTTAAAAAAGGGGGGGAGTGGGGCATATACGTGCGGCAAGAGAATTTGCCATGCAGCACACCTGTATTCAGTGGCGAAGTTCCTTTTGTGATCCATCGCTTTGCACTCTTGGCCTGGGTTCCTTCTCCTACCAAATGACTTGGGCTTTTCAATCTTCCTTTTCAAATGTTCACTAAAAGCAGCCCCCCCGCAACTGTCGTATTTGGATCCCAAACACTGTTTGCTGTGTCTCTCTTATTGTGGTGGTGGTTTGCTCTTTCCTGTTGCAATGAAGCAGCTCTCCTCCTCGCAGCCCCTGGGGTGACAGCAAGGACATTTCTCCCCCTCTGAAGTAGATAAGTTTCTCAATTAGTTGCTGCTTGGTTTTAAGGACAATAATACTGGATTGAAGTGAATCTCCCCTCTCCTAAAATGCCTCATTCTGGATGGGAAGACTGTGCTGTGGAATGGGGTGGAGATACAGATTGACACCTGTAAGGTATTGCTAACAGGTTTGTATTACTCTCCCTCATGGGGGAGAGGCCAAGGAGAAGCTCTGTGCTTCCGTCAGGCAACTCCCTTTCTAGTGTCCCCAAATACTATTTTTGTAATCTAACACAGGGATCACTTCTGGCATTTAAAACCATGAACATGTAGTAAAAGGCTTCCCTTTTCAGGCATGGAACTAGGTGAGTCTTTCCAAAATCGGTTCCTGTTGATGTAGAGGTAACACACAAGCCTTAGTGTGGGTCTCTTTGTTATTGAGAGTGGGATATTTGCTTCTCTGCTCTTGGGAAGAGTAGGGGATCAAACAATTAAACAAGTCTTTGTTCTAGTTTTTGGAGTCCTCTTATTCTTGAGACTGGTCTAACTTTATGGTTTTCTTCTGTGACTTTTGCAAGAGATACACAGTTGGTGGGTATACTAGCTGCCTTCTGATGGTCTTACTTCTGGCAATATTTATCTCTCTTAACTTACCCCCTCAAAACCCCACACCACCAGTTGTCCACCTCAAAATCCTTGATAGATGAAATTCCAATTAACTGTACTTCTTGTGCTAGCAGGCTGCGACAGCTTTCAAAATAATGGCATACCTAGTAGTATGATTTTTTGATGCAGTCAAATAACACCACTACACATGAATAAAATGTTTCTTACATTTTAAAAAGTTAACAGTGAGCATCTGCCAGCTGTGGCTGTCGTAATGTCATACAGTCAATTTCAGATAGGAATAGACGTTAGTATATATAAAATTCATAATTTGATTTAGACCTTATGAGTTTAGCTGTGTTTGTATTGGGGATGTGGCTTCATCACACATTTAAAAAATTGGGTCAGGCATGCAAAAAAGTGGTGAGGGCTGCATTCACAAACTTCTGTTCATTTTATACCTGTTAATTAACAAGTAATTCCAAAGTACTCAACAGATTGCATCGTGATTGGGGAGCACAAGTCTTTAGAGAGGCCAAGTTTGGGCTGGAACCTACAGATCCATTCTGGTGATGACATAAACTTCTCCCAGCTTCTTGGAACAGGTCTATGGGATCTAACCCTTTTTATCTTGTATTGTGTATATATAAGTTAATGTAACCATTCTGCCAAACACCAATGGGAAGGGAGTGTTTGTCATGCCAGTTGAAATAAAGTAACCTCATTTTTAAAAAAAATTATATAGTTGGGTCTTCCACTATAACTGCCTCAGTGTATTGATAGCGGAAGGGAAGCTGTAGCACCAAGAACCAAAAGAGAAAGGTGGCTTGGAAATAACAGTATTATTTACTGGAAGATTTGTGCCTCAACTTTGTACTGTTCAGAAGATTGCCTGCTGCATTTTGAAAATAACCTCCTCGAGGACAAAAGGTCTTTTGTGTACCTGTCTCTGGTGCACCAGTTCAAACAGTGGTTAGAATATTCTTTAATACCAAGTGTATGTATGAGAGAGATACCAGTTGAAAAGAAGAGGGCTTGTTGGTTGTGAATACCACCAGGTCTTCTGTAAGTAAATTTAGTGTTGCCTAGAAGGAAGGGAGAGTGGAGGAAGAGCATCACATTGTATAGGTGCTACTAGTATGCCCTTCAAGTAGAATACCATTTCTTTTCTGTTCAGCAATCTAGGGAGTTTTGAAGGTTAAGTGGTGTTAACCAGCAGAGGGCAGACTAATGCATTTTCATTCGTCTGTGTGTGTATAAAAGGAAAACAGCGGGGATACGGAAAAGGGAAAGAAAAGGGTTATACAACGTAATTGCATTTATCAAGGACAATCATGTACTAGAAAACATATAAAACAGAAAATATTTTCCCTTGCATCCACCTCATTATAATTTTTAAGGTATTGTCTATAAAATACAGTTGTTTTTACTTCTGTTGGGGTACAATTATATTTAACATTTTAGGTTTCAGACTTCATAGCTAGTCTATTTTGCAACTACATCATTAGTTTCATCATCGCTATGTATTCAGTATTACATATTTTCACCACTTCTACATATTCTTTAGAACCTTTAACAGATAAGTCATATATCAAGGTGCAAAAGGAAGGTCTATGTATCTCATAACAAGAAAATAGAAGATATCACTACTCAGAATCCACTTCAATTTTCTTTTTGCCTTTGGGGCCAAACTCCTTTCCAGAGCTGCAGGATACAGAAATGGCTGGGGATCTGAAGATACCAGCCAAGGGATTTAGTCGTGTTTTTGTCTGTGCATCCTCAGGACAGGGTTCCGGAATCCAAGTGGGAAAACTCCAGCACCTTGTTCTCTCTTCTGGCTTAGTACAGTGAAACTTCTACAAGGTGGTTAGCCATGGGCGTACCTGTGGATGTTGCTCAATAGAACTGGAAAGTCTGGGGGGCAGTTTCCCTGTTTTCTAGTCTCTTGATTCAGTGCTCCTGAAATCCTTCTAGGACAATGCCAATCTCTGCTCAAAATACACACAGACTTTACAAATGCTGGCATGTAGCCGTTTCCCTCCTTATTCTCAATAGAATTGTATAGTCCATAAACCACAATGGCTTCTTAAACTTTCTCAGACTGGTTGTCCATTTCAAGCACACAGTAAACTACAGTAAGCATATAAGCATAACTCAGAAATCACAGGTTTGCATAATAAAAGCATGATTAGATTTAAAAAAAAATGGCTTAAGTGTCATGTGTATCAACTATAAAAATTAGATCAGGGTTCTCAGAATCCAATTTCTCAAGATGGTTTAAAAATTGGTGATGGTTTAGTGCCCATGAAATAAATTGTGCTGCTGTTTCCGTGGTCCTCTTGGCAGACTCCTAAAGGAGATTGAGCAGATGGTAATCAGTAGAGTGGGCTGATACCCATTTTGCTCAGCACCCATCTTATGGGGGGGGGGGGGGGAGAATGTGCAATGGATTCTATCACCTGAGTTTCAGAGGGACATAACCTCTGCTCTCAGGAAGTTCCCCTGAATCTACTGGTTTTGCTAAAGAGTGTATTAAACCCTGTGATAAGCAGGGACAGTGAGACTGAATATTATAAGAAAAACAAAGTGAAGGCATAAACCCAGATATGTGAGCAAACTCACTTAGGATCAACAGTAAGAAATTTGCCAGTTCGGTTCCTCAAGTCTTTCTGTCACTGCTGCACAAGCTTTGTTTAAGCCCAGCATAGATAAATAAGAGCCCCGGTCAGCAATTTTGTTAATACTCTAAATGTAGCCATTATGTCTTCCCCTGATGTGAACAAAGCAGAGAAAGGGTAGCAAATATCCTAGGTTTCTTGTTCATTCTCCCTCTGAGGTGGAGGCCATCTTGTGGGTGATTCCCATCCATCATCCAGGGAGGCAGGAACAAATCAAACTTCCTGTTTCCAGTGGTGGGAGTCACCCTAGGCTCAGTTCTTTTCCTGCCTCAGTAGTAGAACAGTATTTTGTCGACATAACATAAGAACATAAGAGACGCCAATGTTGGATCAGGCCAAAGGCCCATCTAGTCCAACACTCTGTCACACAGTGGCCGAAAATACCAGGTGCCATCAGGAGGTCCACCAGTGGGACCAGGACATTAGAAGCCCTCCCACTGTTGGCCCCCCAAGCACCAAGAAGACAGAGCATCACTTGCCCCAGAGCCCCTATCTATACCTTGTGGCTAATAGCCACTGATGGTCCTCTGCTCCATATGCCTATCTAATTCCCTTTTGAAGCCATCACTGAAGTGTGGTGGGAACAGCAGAAGCAGGAACATTCTGTTTCTACAAATGGGAAAACGTGGATTCAACCCACTGGCTCAAGCTCTTCAACCGTGGGTCCACACAGATGAATTGGCTGCGAAG